CATAGATCGGATCACGCTTGAACCAACCCAAGTTTCCGATCTGCTTGACCTGCTCCTCCTCTCCGGGCTTCCCATAGCACATATCCCATGTTTTGGCCCTCTCATAAGAGCCAACCATTTGGAAGCCACCATAATCCTCTAGTAATCGGTGACCGACGCCTGCAGGGACGATTACAACGTCACCTTGCTCCAGAACGGGCTCAACGCGACCCTCGTTCTTCTCACCTCCGAAACAGCACTTCGCAGATCCTGATGCAATGCTGAGAACTTCGTGGGTGGTCGAGTGGAAATGTGTTTCACTAAACATGGTAAATGTCCACTGTGGAGAGACGACTCCAACGGATTTGAGGTGAGATTCGATTGTTGCGGCATCGGGGCATGCAAAGACGCCGCGGTATATCATAAGAGGTTTGCCTTGTATGGAGGTGTTTGGAATGCCTTTATACGCGGGGATTTGATGCTGCGAAACCCGCAAGGCACTCAATGGAGTGATGGACATATTGTCACTTGTAAGAGAAGCTCTAGAGGCGTGCTGTCCGTCTGGTGGCTTCAGAGTTGAAATTGCTGTGAGGATCTGCCGTCCTCAGAGGGTTATTATTAGACCGAGAACAAAGGAAGACTTTGTAGCTAATGTTCACATGCTCCGTAGTTGAATGACCACCTTTCCCAAGGAGCAATACTGGGACAGCCTCGGAGTGTGTATCGCTGCCACCAACTGCCACCACTACCACCCATCGCCCGCAATGGTCCTTTTAGCTTCTATTCCCTTCCTCTCCGCTAAGTTTCCCTTGTGTCTGAATGACGTCATCGGCAGCGAGTTAGTCATCATGTATAGGGTAAAAAGATGATCCGGCCCGATACAGATATTCTGCGGCCCTTGCACCCTTGTGCCTGCACTGATCACCACCGAATCTCGACTTCTCTTCACCTGGCCATGAGTTACGTCCCTGTCCAGGAATGAAGTTGTTTCTGTCCTGAAATCGTGACGATTGGATCTGAGGCGCCAACTGTCCCATTCGGTCAAACGTCCAACGAACCTCGGATTTCTCTCATCCCCTCCTTTCGCCTTCACCTCGCGCATCGATCTGCAAGAAGTCGTAAAGATCTGGGACAATAACAAGCACGCAACTCCCTGAAGGAAGACAGCTGGGCTTATCTCCGTTTGCCACAATCTTTGCGAAACCGTCCTGTGTCCCGAGTGCAGTTTCACACCAAGTGTATAGTGAAGAGAGAGCATGGCCTCAAGAACTGCACCCACGGCGGGCACAGCCTCCAACCCAGCGATGCGGGCGCGAGATGACCTTGATTCTACGTAAGAAGGTTAGGATAATGAAACGAGTGGTCCTGCTAACAGTCAGTAGGTGGACATATCTCGAAAAGAATGTCAACAATGTAATGACCAAGTTGCAAGAGGGCCTTGACATGAAGACATACATGTTTGCTAATCCCCCTCTGTTGTTGCAAGTTGTAGGCTTGCTGACCCAATGCCAGGGGCGTGTATACAGCAGTTCACAACTTCTGTACCTCCCAGAAAGCAGCAACGAATCAAGGTCAGGGTGGCTCGTCGGGAACCTTGACCCCCATTCACCGTGGCGCTCACCTGCTGGGCGAAGAACTCTACACCCTCCTCGGCAAATATCTCACGGGCCATTTGCGCGACGTTCTAGCCGCATCCGAATCACATACAGACGAGGCCCTCCTGGCCTTCTACATTCGAGAATGGAAACGCTACACCGACGCAGCTAAGTACAACAACCACCTCTTTAGATATTTGAATCGACACTGGGTGAAGCGAGAAATCGACGAAGGCAAGAAGAACGTCTACGATGTCTACACCCTACACCTCGTCAAATGGAAGGACGACTTCTTCAAAGCGGTGGAGGGAAAGGTCATGGAAGCGGTCCTGAGACTCGTTGAAAAACAGCGCAATGGGGAGACTATCGACCAGATGCAGATCAAGGCGATTGTCGATTCATTCGTCTCTCTCGGCTTGGACGAGCTCGACAGCTCAAAGCCCACCCTTGACGTCTACCGCATGTACTTCGAGCGCCCATTCATTGCAGCCACCAAAGAATACTACACCAACGAGTCCCGACGGTTCGTGGCAGAGAACAGCGTGGTGGAGTACATGAAGAAGGCGGAAGCACGACTTGAAGAAGAGAAGGAACGAGTGGGCCTCTACCTGCATCCCGACATTATGAAGAAACTCATGGAAACATGCAACGAAGCTCTTATCAGCGCTCACTCAGTTTTGCTGCGGGATGAATTCCAAGTGCTGCTCGATAGCGAACGTACGGAGGACCTGGCCCGGATGTACAAACTCCTTTCCCGGATAAAGGACGGCCTGGACCCCCTGAGGACCCGATTCGAGAGTCATGTCCAGAAAGCTGGCATTGCAGCTGTTGAGAAAGTTGCGGCTCAAGGAGACAGCTTTGAACCGAAAGTCTACGTTGATGCGTTGCTCGAAATCCATGGCAAATACCAGCAACTCGTTAATGTCGCCTTCACTGGAGAGTCAGAATTTGTGCGATCCCTCGACAATGCCTGCCAGGAATTTGTCAACCACAACCAAGTTTGCAAGACCAACTCTACTCGATCCCCCGAGCTACTTGCCAAATACGCCGATCAACTCCTCAAAAAGGGCGCCAAGGCGGCTGACGAGTCTGAACTTGAAGAACTGCTTGTGCAGATCATGGTTGTGTTCAAATACATCGAGGACAAGGACGTGTTCCAGAAGTTCTACTCTCGCATGTTGGCCAAGCGTCTTGTCCACACAAGTTCTGTATCTGATGATGCGGAAACGAGTATGATCAGCAAATTAAAAGAGGCATGTGGTTATGAGTACACCAACAAGCTTCAGAGAATGTTCCAAGATGTTCAAATTTCCAAGGATCTCAACACTGCCTACAAGGATTGGCATGACAAGATTCTCGAGGATAGTGATGAGAAGAGAACAGTCGACTCCACGTTCCAGATTCTAGGAACGGGTTTCTGGCCTCTGAATGCTCCCAACACTCCATTTGCCCCTCCTACTGAGATCAACAAAGCTATCGAGTCCTTTACGAGGTTTTATGATCAGAAACACAATGGCCGCAAGCTGACATGGTTATGGCAATTGTGCAAAGGCGAAATTCGGGCCAACTACATCAAGAGTCAGAAGGTGCCATACACTTTCCAGGTTTCGACCTACCAGATGGCTATTTTGCTTCTGTTCAACGACTCGGACAAGTTGGATTATTCGGAGATCAAAGAACTTACCAAGTTGACGGATGAAACCATTGAGCCGGCGATAGGCATCCTGTGCAAAGCCCGTGTCTTGAACTCGACCCCGGATGACGGCAAACCGGCACCCGGCACCAGTTATGCGCTGAACCACAACTTCAAGAACAAGAAGGTCAAGATCAACTTGAATATCACTGTCAAGTCCGAACAGAAGGTAGAATCCGAAGATACTCACAAGACAATTGAGGAGGATCGAAAATTGCTCCTCCAGGTACGTGTTTTTTCAGTTGTCCCCTTGGGGTACGACCTGCTGACTGTCTCAGGCTGTGATTGTTCGTATTATGAAAGGTCGCAAGAAGTTAAAGCATGTCCACCTAGTTGAGGAAGTCATCAACCAAGTCCGCAACCGATTTCCTCCCAAGATCTCCGACATCAAGAAAAACATCGACGCCCTTATGGAGAAAGACTACATTGAACGTTTGGACAATGATGAGTTGGCCTACATCGCGTGAATAATGCTCTTATTGCGCAGGATAACTCTCTCCAAGGGCGCGGAGCTATTGGTTATCTTTTACAAATTTACGTCTCTTTCGGGCAAGAGCCAAACTCTCTTCGTGGGTTGTCATGCTTCGTAAAAACCCAGCCGGAGACTAATCAAAACTCGGTAAAGATATGAGGTAGGGCGAACGGGACGGATGGATTTTAATGGTCTATTGAGCGGGCGAGTCGACCTAGTCAAGGCGTGGTACAAGCCTTACATGACATCTGCATTGCGCGGCGGTGCAGGAGGTTGCGTTAGGGAGCCTCTCATTTTTCATCTTACGGCCATAAGCCAGATGCCTCTCAGCGGTTCTCGGAGCGAATGGGCGAGGGAGACAGCTGATGAGAAACGAATTCGATTGAACGACATCATAATGAAGGTGTCAACAAAGTCGCTGGAAATCAATGGGTGGGAAGTGGGAAAAGGACCTGGCGACGTGTACATGCATGCGGTGGCTTTCACAAGACAACAATTGAAATGGCTTGTGACAAATACAGGAGCTCGGACTAGGTACCTAGAGTACTCGCGAACGAAAAACCTATTCTCCAGCACTCCTGAGCATCGTACTGTGCTACAAAGGAGGCCCAATCTTGGCCCAACGACCAGCTCGACCTGCGTCTCGGCTGGGCATTTGCTTCAGATAATCCTTAGTGACTCGGTGTGCCCTGGCAAGTCCCCACCCCTACGCTGCTGCCTGGTACCGACGACACATGCAAATGATTGCTTCAGAGAGCTCCGTGTTCCTTGACTTATCCTTGGGAACACCATCGACCCTCTGGAGGAGACTCATCATCCCGAGGGAGGGCGGCGATGCCGTTTGTGGCGGGCCAGCCTTGCCGCTTTGTGGTACGGTTGAGTGGCCAGGCTAGTGAGGCTCAACTTGGGCTCAGCCGCTCTTCGTTCATCCATTTTGTCCACTCGTCCGCTTCGCCATCATTCTGCGAGCAGGACTTGTTTTCTGTCTACTCCTTTCTTATATGACCTACGTCGGAATGCGACTTTCTCACTTCTAAAACGCGGCAGACAACGTCACTTAGATTGCAGTAATTGGCTTGAGTGTCCTGACGGGAGCAGAGGCGCACACCCCCCGGATGAGAACTTCACAGGCTCAAGCAACACGCCAGGCTTGGGACTGTGGGAAGATCTTGCCCGTCTGCATATACCTTTCCGTCACTTCATCAATAGATAGTATGGGCGCATCCGCCTCCGCAAGTTCCACACTAACAGAAACTTCGAATCACGCATATATCCAGCTTTTCTTTTGCTCCAGTATGCTTATACAAGCTCCACGGATAGGATCGTCCACGTTTGGGGAGATTTCGAAGATCAGGACTCCGCGTTTCCCCGACAAATCGGCCCAGGTGCGCTGTTCATGTTCGGAAATTTGAATCTCATACCAGTGCCCTTTGTAGAAGATGCTCTGATGTTGTGTCAGGGGCCGCGCCCCATCCAGGGAAACACCTTCAGCCTGAAGAATCACCCCTCTCTTATTCTTAGAGATGTGCATCATGGGCGCATCGCCGCGGCACGAGCCAGCTTTTCCAGTGTCAAGGAAAGAGCTCGGCATCCAACGTAAACCTTCTGTGGTCATACGTGGGAGGTGCATGAAAAGCACATCTCTCGGAACCGTCTTCCACAGGTTGACGAGAACTTCCATGGGGTCAGACATTCGCGCCTGCTGGACCGTCACTACGTCCACGTCCGTTATGATGGCAAGGTAGATGGCCTCGTCTCCCGCCCAGCTCGTTGTGCGCCATGCAATGGCCGAAGTTGCTTCCGCGAGTCGCTAGTTCGTGAGATAGAGGGCGCCGAGATATGGTACCATCTGTCGGTACACGCAGCGTGTCTCCGTGTACGATTGCCAGCCTTCGATGAATAATGGGTCAAACCCGCGCAGCCAGTACCGGTAGGAGCCATAATAGCCTTGGGCGTTGTTGATCATCCTTGACAGTTCTTCGTGATGTGTCGCAATAGGCGAGTCAGTCGCCTCTTTCCATCTACTGGGGAGGTCTTTGTCAGTAGGGCGTTTCTGCCTCTCGATCCGAGAAGACAAACCAGATTGTTCCATTTGCTGCTGACGAGCTTGCAGCTCGGCCCAGAGGGCTGCTTCTAATCGATTGATCTTGTACTCTAAAGCGGTGATGTGCGCTTCTTTTTCTGATGCTCCCACGTCATTTGGATTTGGACTGGCCAAAATATCGAGCGGCGCGACAAGGTGCTCTTTATCCAAGTATTCAGCCTCTTCGACATCCGGTCTTGAGGTAATGGATTGCACAATTAGCTCGTTTTGGGAACCGGCGTCTTGCTTGTCAAGTAAATCGCTAGAGTCGCAGAGCGCGTTGCTTTCGGATCTGGCCATCGCACACACCAAGAGCATAGCAAGTTCTGAGTTCATACTGTGGCGGTCACCAACCAAGTCACAAAAGCGAATGACAGCATTCCCAGAGGGCAACTCTGCATGGTATTGTGTAGTCAGTCGATCTCCCGCCACCGCAGCATCCTTGAGTTGGAAAGTAAATGGTCCTTGCCAAGGCACTTTCATGCCACATCCAAAGATGAGTAGCCCAAGGGGCGAATTTGATTGCCAGCAGAAGACATTCTGGGGCGACCGTCGAATCCAGTAGAATCAAGGACTAGGACCTTTTCTGCTCCACTGTATACCTTTCTCATACTTAGGATTGCGAGTTCTCTTGTTGTAAGCTTTCGAGGCACGCAGATCGTGTCGATCCAGAAAGGTACATTTCCATTCCGACTCGGATACAGTGAATTCACTTGAACCTGGATTCTTTGGAGCTGACAGGAGGGAAGGGCATTTTCACGCAGATTTCCCGATCTATCGGACCAGACATGAGATATTGCGACGTAAGACATGCAGTTGGAGTCATCACTGGACTCGGGTCTGCGCACCAGCAGTCGATTGCCGGATCTGCCCAAACCATGCGCAGGACGATATGTTGTGTAGTCGATTTTGGAGTAGATACACTCTGCAATTGTACAACGGTCGTGATGCCTTGAAAGAAGTGAGCAGTCCACCCGGGAGAGATAAACCAGAAGATTGACAAAAGAACCTTCTAGTCGATTGATGAGAGTTGCTACTTCGTTGATGCACCAGCCAGCTTGGAGCAGCCGTGCACATACATTGAGTGTTTCGATCCAATTGTGACTCCGGGTGCCACCAAAGCCAGCATAGATTTCTTCCTGCGGGAGATCGAGCATTTCCGCCAGCGCCGATATGGCCAGTAAGGTGTTATTGTCGTCGTCCACCAAGAATGAGTCTATCATGGAGACATCGTCCACAGCTCGACCTCCTCAGTGTCGGTCACCAATATTGGTTTGCATTGGCAAGACTCTATGGACAGGATCCAAGCAGTCGTTGACAATTGGATAATGTCGAATTCGCTCTTCCTTGCTGGCGCGAGACTCTGCAGCCAGCCAGTACCACAGGTAACGGTGGATTGAAGCTGTGTTGAGTCGCAGACCTAACGACTGATCGTAAATTACGAACTCTTCGGGCGTCACGGAAACTCCTACTGTGGTGAGTAATTTAGTGATTGTCCCGAACCACAACCAGGATTGAAGACGTGGCCCTACTTGCTCAAGAGAAATTGTCACATTGAGACCGTCGGCGATCTCGTGTTTGGTAAACATGAATTTGTCAGGTTTTAGGACTTCAGTGGTGCCTGCAGCGTTGTCACATACGGCACATATGCACGAGGCTTAGGACATGCTCCCCTGCAGTGAGGTGGGAGGGGAGATGATCCATAGCCGTGAAGGAACCTTTGGAGGTGGTCAAAATGCCATAGATCTCATAGGCTGAGGTCAAGAGCTTCCGCCAGTCAACGATGCGGCTGTGACGGGCGAGAAAAAGCATCTGCGGCTGGTGTCTGCTGAGGAGCTGATGGACAACAGTCACCTCATGTGTGGTCATGGTTACAGTCACAGCCTCGAAACGAAGCAATTGTTTGTATAATTAGAATTGCCGCCGAGATGGGCGAACGGTCGGAGTTGTGCAGGCCATCAAGAGCACCTCACACGAGTTCCTCGAGGTTTCAATCATCATGCGAAATTGGCATCGCATTGCTCTCTGATGGATTGATTGGTCACTCGGCCATTTGCCACGTTTTCAGTTCGATCGGTTTGTTGTATTTCCCTTCCAGTCATGTCCGTGGAATGTCGTCTGGCGGTGCAGATGTCTCGCGGGAACCCACACCTACCCCTCTACAAGTAGACTGCTCAAGACCGCTGTAGGGATATTGGGGTCAGAGCACCCGCGAGTTTTCCCACGCAGGTGACCATAACCCATGGTTTCAAGAGTAAACTCACGTTCTGCTCCCCCCCCCCCTTCCAGGGCAAGCTCCTGTGTCCGACAATGGGACTTGGAGTCATCCTCGAACTGGATTTGAGAATCAACATCCAATTCCATCTTCAATGAATTATAATAGCCGGAGCTCGAATTATCTCAGACAATGGAGTAGCTTCATCAGCCTTAGCGTGGAGCACGTCGGACAGCAAGATAAAGTGTCGAAGCTAGTATACAGAGGATCAAAGCACAGATTGCTCAATGCGATCACGTACTTTTTGTATCTGGCCAGCTTCTTTGTGACCTTAGGCCAACAGTCGATTGAAGAGCCAGCCAGCGTTAGCTAACATGGTGAGCCTCCTACAAGTAGCCCTGAAAAGGAGCTCCTGGCAGTAAAATCCGGTTGCGAGCACAAAACTGGGAAACCTCCAAGCTTGCAAGAGGTCAAAATATGTCGACGTTGAGTTAGGCCACTAGCTCAGCGTTTAAGCCTCCAGTGAGCGTTACTGAGCGTCTAGAACAACTCCTTGCGCTACTCCCTCAGGACTTCCTAAGCCGAAGTCGGGGCCTAATTTGGCTCCTTTCTCCTGACCACCAAGAATACTCGAGAACGAAAAACCTAATTGCCATTTACGAGTTGATCCTAGAGGGTGATTGAGGGCCGCTTTGACCTGAGCACTCCCTGAGCACTCCCTAAGCAAATTCACCGGGGTTCTAATCTGGCCCTTTACCATGAGCTATACGTACCTCTCGGCTAGGCATCTGTTTTAGACGGGCGTCAGGGAACCTACTAGATTCCCTACTCCTACGCTACTGCCTAAACTTCCTTGTGGCCTTGTGCCTGGCGGTGCGACAGGGTACTTGGTTAAGTCGTATGTCGTACTGGGTACTGAGCGCAAGGAATCTAATTAAGCAAAATAGTGGTCTAGGCGCCGAGACGCCTAAAGTCTCTGTTGACCTGTGGGTAACTAGTGGTGTTGGGCGCAGCCTCACATGCGACCCAGAACCGGTGAAGGGAGGTAGGTCAACAGAGAGAGTTCAGCCCGAACTACCAAGGCTGAAGATCACGTGATATCCAAGAAGGGAAAGAGGTGGTATGGTGGAATGGTGGTCTCGCATACAAGCAACATGTGAGAATCAGAGGACCCCACTGGCACGCCGTCTCTTGTTTAGGTGTCTAAGGCTTTAGGGGTCGACGCGGCCATCGTGCTCTGATGCCAATTGAACTCTGAGGGGGCAAATAGTGATGCTGTCGGCGCCCGGCCTTTGATACCAAGGAAAACAAGTTGCGCTTTGCATATATGAAACTGGCGAGTCGACACTGCGCGGGTGTCTTGTATCTTGATGCTCTTGTAATCTAGGCGCGCGGAGGTTCGATTGAAAGGACCTGAACTATCACGCATCAAAACCCTAAGGTGAGAACAATGGGGATCAAAGCAGATAGTGGAGCTGGAAAAGGCGTGGCAGGACGCAGGGCTTTCTTATCTTACCTTCGTAGTACATAGGCTTAGCTGTCTGTGCCTGGGGCCATTGGCCCTCCAACATCGAAAGCGCCTCATCAGAGAGGGGAAACTGGTCCTCCAGTGGCTCGTCCGATTCCCACCCAGTTATATGACCAGCCACGAGACATCCTGGCACCCGAAGTTCCCCTCACTCGTCAGGCAGATACTCCCAGACCGGGTGGAAGCGGATCATTGCTAGAGGCGATACAAGAAATCTTGTCTGTTAGGCTGATCGGGTGGATGTCCTAAAAAGCTTCTGGGCTTCACGCCGAGCGAGGTGGCAATGGCGGCGGCATCTGAAACACTTTGGCAGGCTTTCACAGCATCGAGTGCATACTCTGGCGCTTCTAACCCCTCTTGGTGCCCCTATGTTTCTTTGAGGGCTGAACCTTAATGTCCTGTAAGCCACCCTCGTTTACGAATACCTAGTAAGGTCAATTACTTGGACGCTCCACCGTCCGGAAACGCGGCACGTCTCCGTCTTCCCCTGACGCCCTTGATTGCGCCTCCCAAGCCCCGGCGCTTACTGGTGAAATACTCTCCATGAAAATGGTCCGTTACGGGTCTATGATAGTATCACCATCCAACGAGGTGCAGAACAACCCCAGTATCATGCGGACTATGTTCAGAATATTATCTCCATTCCAGCCTGAATGCGTCCAGTCTCAGGGAAGCGAGAAGCGGCTCTGAGCCCTAAACTTGCTAAATGAGAAAGAACCAGTTTGCGGCTTCTGGCCTGCTTCATCCTTCGTGGAAAGCAAGGGCCCAGGCACGGAGGACAAAGTCGAAGCCATGCCATTTTCGCTTCGTACCAAGGCCAGCCCATGCTCCAGAAGCTGCAGGCTAGCGAGGATGATGCTACCCTTTCCCTGCTTAGAGGTTGGAGGTTGGGGGTAGCGGTACCATTGAATCCAGCAGTGGCTCAGGGGCCTGTCTGGCTGGTTATATCTGCCTCGAGTCTGCCTGATTACACTGCCATTCCACCCCTCTTAATATATAGAGCATCGTTCGTAGTCTCCCACTCTTTTGACTTGTCCTTCACCATTTCCCAGCTTGGGAGACGTTCTCGACCATGGTGAGAAGGCTAGCGCGTTCTATCGGCGTCATTGCCTTGCCAGAGAGCTAACCAGCGATGCAGGTACAGCTACAAGATGCTGATGCAGAATCGTCGACCCGAAGGACGTCTGGTCAGATATATAACCCGCAAAGCGAGAACGATTCGAGAAGCTCGGGGCGGTTGAATACATGCTCAACCAGTAACCCCTCACACTCTCCCAATGTGGCTACACACGACCAAGATGATCCTGATGAGCCTCTACCTTCGATTGAGACGGAGCCTGAACTCGGACCAACTCTCACCACTGACCGCGACTCGGCACTGCGGGCCAGGTCTCCCTCCTTTTTCATTAGTCCGCCTCCTTCCAAAAACCCATTCTTCACTCCTTCATGTACACCAGTCTCTAAAGCTGCTCCTGTCGCTGAGTCGCAGGTTTCGAGCCTTGACGAGCGCATGGCAGCGCTAGGGCTATCCAGGGATTCCACTCCACATCAGTCCTTGTCCAGAAGGACAGCTTCTCCTACTCGCAACAGCACGCACGATCAGCCTTCTTCCCCTGATATTATTCCGAATGGCGGCTATGTCGCTCCAATCTCCCCAACCCCTATTCTCAGGGAACCAGATGGCTTGCAGTCTAGCCTACCAAACAAAGCAACCCATCTTTCTCCACGGTCCCCGAGTCCAGACATTGTCATGGGCGACGGAGCGAGCAGTCCTGGATCTGCGTCCCGACGCCGCTCGGGCTCTCGCGTCGACTTAACACCCCACAACGTTACTGAGGAAGAGCCTCCCGACGCAACGTTCCACGACCCCGACTTCCAGCTCCAGCTTGCGATCTCCAAGGGTCTAGTTGAAGATCTCGTTTCTATCCTGGAAAGATCCTCATTACATAATGAGCCCGAATCACGAATCCGGGGGCTTTACTTGCAGGCTGTTAAATTGAGTCGATATCAGCATCCTTCTACTCGTACCGTTGGCCTAGTGGGTGACACCGGGGTCGGTATGTCGCATTGAGGGCCTTTGGTGGGATTCATGTCGCTCACAGCCATCAGGAAAAAGCAGTCTGCTGAACTCGTTGTTAGATCGCATCGGGTTTGCACGCACCGTTAGTGGATGACCCTTTCCAAGGCTCCATCATCGAATTGCTAACCACTATATCGGCTACAGGGTAACAGTGGAGTGGCATGCACATGTGTTGTTACAGAGTTTCACTATCATGAGAATGCCAAGTTTGCCCTCGAAGTGGAATACTTCACCCGGGAAGAGATTCGAGAGCGGTTCACCGAGCTTTTGCGATCCTACCGAAGCCATCACTTACATGAGCATGATGACACTAGGACGACGGCAGATCACCGTGGGGCCTTGCAAGAAAATGCAAAGGCCGCTAAAGATACATTTTGTGCCGCATTTGGGAACTACCTCGCTCAGAATGAACGATTCCTGCTTGATTATCCGGAAGAGAATGTGCTCCAGACACTGCAAACATGGGCTGTGAGCACGGGTTTTCCAGTGGGAGAAACCAACACGGCGCCCAGAATTGAATTCGCTCGTGCAGAGGACTGCTCTAATCACTTAATGGAATTGACCTCTGAGCCAGTAGATGCTACCGAGCCCTCTAAATGGCCATTCATTCGAAAGATAAGGTTTGTGGCTCCAACAGAGCTCTACCTAGCGCATTTTGCCAACGAAAGCAGGGTTTACCTCAACGCCTATATTCTGAGCAAAGGTCTCGTACTGGTTGATCTTCCAGGTGAATGCCACCCTTGAGTTGATCTTTTCTCACGGATACTGATAATATAGGCCTTCGGGATCTCAACTCGGCTCGATTGAACATCACAGAGAGATACTTGCTCGAATGCGACGAGATATTTGCTGTCTGCAATATAGGCCGCGCCACGACGAACCCTAGCGTCAAGGAAGTGTTTGAGCTAGCAAAGAGGGCTTCGTTGTCGAATATTGGAATCGTTTGCACATACTCTGATGTAAGGCTGGATGCACTGGGATCCGCTTGCTGCCCACACGACCTTCATTTCGTTTCAAATTGTGCTCTTCCACTGACATTTCGCCTAGGAGATCCTCGCCGACGAAGAAGAGCAAGTTCCGGATGAAGGAATTAGGAATGAAATCCGGAGGTTGAGAGGGAATGTTGACGACCTTGACAAAATCGTTAGAGCGACCGAAATCGAACTCCTCGACGACACTTCTGACGGCGATGTTGACGATGACATGAAGGACCAAATGACGAGAAATGTGATGTCATTACACACTACCCTCGCAAGGACAAGGTAAATATTTCCAACTCATGACTTTACGGCTGAAACTCATTGGTCTACTTTGCTTCAGGAGACATCTCGCTAGCGCAAAGTTCGAGTAAGTCTGAATCGCTCCTCGACCGTCACGGTGACCGTCATCAAGCATTCACTCAAACCCTTTGCCAGATTGATGAGGTATCTCGTCACCGCCCGCAACCAGAAAGTCACGGGAGAGCTCCAGAAGCTTTATCAGAACCAAGTCCCTACAGCGAACCTCCCTGTCTTCTGCATCGGCAACAAAATCTACCGGGAAAACCGAGATAAACCAAAAACCGAGGCTCTGCCCTACCTGCAGTTGTCGGGAATTCTGCAAGTCCGGAGACATTGCCTTTCCCTAGTCGCAGAAGGCCAGCTCCGTGCTGCAACAGAGTACGTCACCAACGCCATTCCAGCATTGCTCGGATCGATTGAGCTCTGGATTCAAGCTGGTGCGGGAAGTGTGGGCGCCGAGAGAAAGCAGGCAATTCGAGGAGCTTTGGATCGGATTGAAGAGGAGTTTGAAGCCGTAAGTGCTTTGGCACGTCAGTCCAACCAAGATCGGGGCTAATCTGATCCGACTTTCTCGAAAAGATCAAAGTCCCAACCTCGATTGTCAATAATGTGGGTGAGACGATGGACCAGCTTTTCGCGAGGCAGATAACACCACTCGTGGGTAGGTTGAAGTGGTCCAAAGCTGAGATGCGTATGCTGATAGCCTACAAGGACAAGCGTTGAACTCGAACAGCTGGAGAGAAGCGGCGATAGATGCTACAGCTGAGTGGTCAGGGGTAAGCCATCCGAATGCTCGACAGGTCTCAGGCTGAATACACTAACAAAGAAACTACAGTGGAATCAGGGTAAGACTTTTGATTCCTCTCCGGCTAAGTTCGTTCGACCCAGACAATCCTGACCTCCTTTCAGCTACTTACATTGCCTTCTGTCGAAAGTACGGAAACCATGAGACAGAGGCGACAATAATACGCCGCTGTTGGAACGAAGAAGCTATGCAAGCCATGGTTACTGATATGAAAGCTCCGTGGCAAAAATTTCGCCAGGACATACTCAGACTTCAAGACGGTGTGTCTGAGGCAATTGAAAACATTTTCGGTCGTGCTGTCGCTCAATGTATGTGACCTGATCTCTCGTTTTCGAGGCACTTCGGCTCGCCTGCTGATGGTTCTTCAGCTGCTCCGCCTGGGCTTCCAAAAAATTCTCTGCGGACTTTGACTGTCACCCTGAGACACAGGAAAGCCCTGCTTATGACGCAGGTAGAAAATTTGTGTGGTGAATTCGAAAAAAGCGTATCGTGAGACATCCCTACCATTGGGCTACGACGCTTCCAAGTGGCTGACTTATCGGATAGAATTCTCTGGACCGATGCGTCTTCCGGCATTCGCAGCTCATTCATGGGTCAAGCCATGGAGCAATCCTACAACACATGCATTAGTGACGGGGGTAAGTTGCAGAATCATTGGTTCGAGGCACCTCAGTGCAGAGCACTCATTCGATGATCGTTCTTGCAGGGAGAGGAAGCGACAAGAGGCGTAAAGCCACTATACGCAGCGGGTTTGGCAACGACCAGCTTTTCCCAACCATCCAGCGCAAATTTCGCAACGGGTTCTCCAAGCTCAGCCGCGACCTGGACGCCAAGATCCAAGAAGCCGTCACGACACATCTCGCCGTCGTTCAACGGGATGTGGATACCTTGAGGAACGAGAATGTGGTCCTGGAGAGCGAGAGCGATCCCAAGTTCCGAACGCTGCTGGAAACCGAGGTGCGCAAAATCAGAGTGCAACTGAACGACGCGATTGCGGTCTATTCTCGTCTCGCACCGCCCGCCTCCTGAGCACACCGCAGCGATAGGGGGTAAGGACTAGGTATGACCAAGTCTTGAAAGAGGAGATGTAGGACAGTCACTGAGGTGCAGGATCGAGGAAGACATGGATCCGAGGGGAGTGTCCTGTAAATAAGGTGTCATGAGGAGAATACGCCATATGTAAACTGAATCAAATGATAACTTACCATGAAGAAATGCCTTTCCACCGCTCATTCTAGTGCCAGCTGATATTCCTGGCGAGGGATCATCTGCATATAGATGTCTTGCGAACCAGCCATCCACTGGGAGGGCGTCCTGAAATCCCAAAAGAGAGGAGGCGTTCTTGGAATCTTATACTGCCGTCTCCTGCGGCTGCCTCGCGAGGCTACGGTAGCTCCGACCTTCGATGATACCTGTTCGAAGGATACGCATAAGATATGGCGCTTCCCCTGGTTGTACAACGACTCCAAAGCTCGTTGGGAGCAGGGCACAGAGCGGAGATGTTGGCCGTAAACTGACTGCCCTAGCACCCCTCGCAGTAGAGTTTCAGGACCAAACAGTTGAACCTAAACTCCGCCAATAAGCCCCTTCCGGACAACGCCTTTGAAAGGATGGGTTTATCCTAAGCCAACCTTATGGGGACCGGCCGACTGTACACCAGCCATACTCGCAAGGTACCTAAATTAAACAATATTCGCGGTCGTAAATAACAGGAGCAAGTGAGGAGTGAACCTTGAGAGTGTTGCCACCAAGGCCCGGGGCTATATTCTTTCTCCTTTAAGTATATAGTGTAAGGGTTTGGAAAGAGTTCTGCAACTAGCTAGCTGACCTAGTAACAAGGAGGATAAATTTGAAGAAGAGGAAAGTACTTAGGAGGTGCTACTTCGTCCCCTCCTTATATCGTACGTCTCAACTTCGGTCCGAGTTTCATAATGGGTATATGAAATATATTCCGTCACTAGTAATTATAGCGATAAAAGCAGCCTCTAGGCTGCGTATATTTAGCTAGTTCCTGTTAGGACACCTAGTGCTCCGAACAAGTACATAACCAAGTGGCCCAGCATTCTACTATGGAATGCCTGAATTGCTAGTCTTTTGGGTTAAACACCAGCGGCCGTGGGCCACTCTCAGACATCGCTGGGCATTCCAAAATTATATGGGCCGCGAGATGCCCCTTGAAGTTCTCTAACTTCGGAGTCTTCTTCGTCCTTCGTCTATAGGTAGGCGATATATTCATTCACAACTCGCTGGCAAGCCATTTAAGACTCATTCTTCTTCCCGAACCAGACCGCATGCAGCTCGATGCGGGTATCTGAATCACACCAACATTAGCCCAGGAGTAATATCGTCCATGCAGAAAAGAACACACCTTGAGCGGTAGGGCGTATGAAGCCTTGCAAAATGACAACTACCGACAAGATGCTTGCTGCGACACCGAAGACTATTGTACAAAGGACTTCGGTAGACATTGATGTCAAAACTGTCCAACTAATATTGGCTTTTTGTCTCAGCCTTAGTATACTTGCGAGTTGACATAGAGTCTGACGTACCTACAGGTATCCTGTCTAGCTCGACTGGTCAGAATTGGAGAGGAATGATGCGGTTGCACTTGACGGTCTTGAATGGAGGCATTGAATTGTTTCTAGATGGGAGAAGCAGCTTGTTGAGGTGAGCAATGTGAAGTGTCACACCTTGAGAGCAGCTGACGTAGATATATGGCCAGGGCTCCGAGCGTCGAGCCTGCCTTCTCATTTCAGAAGTGTGGAATGAGCCAGTGCAGGTTTCTCATCGGCATCAGCTTCTGTAGCTACGACAAATTCGGAATGCCGCTAAGTCGCCAAAACCAAGAGAAAGAAAATTAACGGTGACGGAGTCGAGAGCCAGTGCAGGAACGTAGTTGCCCGACGAGGCTGAGGCAGGGATGTGGATATGCATGTGGACTTGACATGGATCCTCACCACTCACTCCTCAGCATTCTTCGTACTCGCTTAAATGAGCACACCGCGGTCTGCCGCACGAGGCGGTTTAGATTGAGCCAGTGCGTGGCAGCCTTACAAGAGAAAAATCGGTATAGCGTCCCAACAAGGGTCCCTAGATGCCCAGCTCGCCAGTACTCGCACCTGGTACCTCGGCGCTCCCTTGCCGCTTCTGCTGAATCATCGGCAACTTTTGGATTCCTTCGCTTTCCTTGAAACGGAATAAACTGGTGAGCGCTCTGTCAATGCATATCCCCAGTCGAATCCCGTCCCACCCCTTGATTCATTTGGCATATCGTGTCCGGCCACTTTCTACCTTATCAAATCCTTCTCAGGGATACAGAGACCAAGGCGCCGTGTCGTCATGAAGTTCCTGACTGGTCATCCGCTAGCGAGGCTCTCCCGCTGGCCTGATCTCATATAAAGTACTCCGGACCTTCAAGCGACAGCATTGTTGAGATGGAGCAACCCATTAGGCACGGTTATTCCCGTGGCGTTTACCGCCCTCGCGAAGGCCCCTCGACCGTCGTCTCTACAACATGAATTAGCATTGATATTACGGGGGTTTTGTGAACCATCCCCGTGCAGGCGTTGCTAGGCGTCATGGTATGATTGCCAAACCGGAGATTCTGCCGGGATCTGGAGGGCCTAGTGAGCCCAATCGGACATCTCAAAATTGAGACAGTGTAAGTTAAGCCACCGCCATCTAGGGCTGTGGGCGGCGGGCTGTGGGCGTGCTATGTGTGAACCCCCTTTGTCAGTGTCCAGTTCGGGTAAGAAGATCGCCTCAAAATCCCCCTGACTCTCTTGGCCCTTAATGCTGAAATCCACAGATATTCTTGAATACTTAATTCTCATCCCTCTTTACATGATCAGTGTTGATATTTTGCAAACGAAATTTCCTTGCTCCGTACCTGGGAGGCACGATGCCGACTCTGATTTCCCTATTCAATCTTTCTTTGGTCTCGACCGATAGCCCTGGGGCCCCTGCAAATGAGCCAAAAAGGGAGACGTGTGTCACTTCAATGTTTCCTTGTTCCCTATGTTCCAAGGTGTTTACCAGAAATTTTACCTTGAAAAATCATATGAGAGCACACGCCAACGACAGACCATTCCACTGCCGTGTGTGCGGCGAATCCTTTGTGCGACTACATGACAAAAATACACATGAAAAACTCCACGATGGGACCAAAAGCTTTGTCTGTGGCGGAGACAGCGAGGGTCGACATGGACAGAGAGCAGGGTGCGGACGCTCCTTTGCTCGGTCCTCCAACCTTCAACGACATCGACGGAAGTGCAAGCTACGTCAATCTATTGCTCGACGGCCAACGCAAATGTCTAATATTCACGATATAACGTCAGGCAATCACCAAAATACGGCAGTTGCATCTTCTGTGGCGGTTGCATCGCCTACGGCAAGGATAGGCAGGCGTCTACTTGAATGGAACAAACAATCTACCATTGAACTTTTGGAGTCTTTACAACACGAAGCCGAGCCTTTGAATCCTCGCGAGCCCAATCAAGGACCCCCACCGTCACGCACATTGACACCATCCTCTGTGCTTGCACCCCTCCGGGACCACATCGCTGCAGGTAAGCCACGTAGACGCTCTTTGTTTGTCTGGGATGGCTTCGTGTTTACTGACGTTTCAATACAGAGAACAGGTTCCTGAATACGGCCCGCTGTGGGCAAGTCACACCTGATCTGTTGACGCAGGCCACTAAGTATATCCAGACACACCACCGCCTGGAAATCCTCCAGTGCGTGTACCACTGTCCAGCTACTGGAATAGCCTGTCCTTCATGGATTCCTCCGTGCCCATGTCCGCCTTGGTGGTGCGCACGTTACCGTGAGGCGCCATGGGAAGCTTGTGGCAACCGAAAATGGGTCGAGCCTGTTCCTCACAGCCTCTCCAGGTATTTGAGAAGTCATGGAGTAGCCTTTGACACTGTTGTTGAAGTTCAAAAGAATGAGGGCAGATCTGACTGGGCAAGGCCCCCTTTCTCGGTTGCCGGAAGCTGGTCAGCCCTCTTCACAACGGACGACCCTACTTATCACACGGGTGAACCCCTTATTTCTGTCATTTCCTACACGCTCCTGGGCTTCGAGGACCCCCGAGCATTTGAGCAACTGGCCGAAGGGGCTGCCCGAATTTTTTCTCGCCTGGCTAATTGCCGATGCATCTGCCTCCGACGATGATCCGCGAAATCTCCAGCGCCTAGTTGCCGAAGGAGATCTAGTTCCAGCTTATGACAATCCCGGAGATTTTCAAGAGCTGTTTGTCAGGGAAAATTTGCTAGATTTGACTCGACATTTCGATCACGTACCGTCTTGCGGGCGGCCGTTGTTTCGAACTGAAAATGGATGCATTGGGACTGGTCCACGCTTAGTCCAGCCTGGTGATGTCTCTTGCGTCTTGTTCGGCGGGAAAGTTCCCTTCATCCTTCGGCCCGTTTCGGACCATTTTCTTCTGATCGGGAAGTCTTACGTTCATGATGCCATGCACGGCGAGGTAATAGATCGACTCGATTCCGGAGAATTGGAGGAGAGGCTTTTCGAGGTTTGGTGATCCTAGCCCAACTGGACGGGACTGAAACTGGAGGCGTGCAAACGACTCCATTGCCGAGCGCCGCATGACCTTGTTCGTCATCTTCAACTGTTTCCACTCAGTAGATAAACCCAACAGCATAATCAATGAAGGCCCCAATATCCTCCGGATAATCGTCCTGCCAGTCTCCTTCCTCGACGGTAAACCCTCCCACAGAACCGCCACCTCTAACAGCGGCAGCCTGGATCAAGGACTCAACGTGGTGGTCCAGAATCTCGGACAATTTCCCTGTCGATTTCAACTACCCAGCCTTGTGAAAGCCACCCTTAACCATTCCGACCTCTTTGGCCCTTCTCGAGACAATGGATCTTCCACCAACTGCGCATACTGATGTCCGACTGTCTAGCACAGCTTATCCTTCTTCAGCGACGGATGGTTTCCTCCGAGAAAGGGATGCTCGTTTTAAAAGACAGATTTCTTGATGGACACCCCGGTACACAGTTCC